ATATATATATATATATATATATATATGTGTGTGTGTGTGTGTATATATATATATATATATACAGAGTGTTTGATAATTAATAAAATTTTCGCATAGCGACAGAATAGATTAAACTGAGTCAAAAAGTCTTCTATCATTTTGCAATTTTCGCAATAGTTAACAAGATTAATTACTGAAAATCGCTGAATATTGATTTTCAGTAATTTTTTTATTCAAGTACTAATAACTTTTGAATGAAATTTTTATAATAACTTTTGAATGAATAGTGATCACCATCTAAAATCTTTTGAAGATCACTCAAGATAATGATCTTGACAACATATGTTAAAATCCAGATTATCGGCGTATCCTTTAATCCGAATAATTATTAAAAATTATTTAATGGAAATCGATAGGAGATCTCTCTTTTCACAGATAACAAATTCTGATTTGTTTTATTTGCATTATCATTGTTATTATTACAATAATCTTCGAGTAGTTATTGATCTATAAAAAAAATTTTAATCCAATATGTTCAAACTGAAAGAAGTGTGGTATTTGCAAAACAAACTTTTGGAAGAATATGCGAATGTCAAGTAGCTAAAATAAAAAAGATCAATACAAAATAACGCTCGAAGCTGCCTCTACTTTTACTTTACGCAACGCCGGAATCTGCTCGGCTTTGACGACGGATGGAACGTGCGCAAACAATAATTTCACGTAAAAACATACTTTACTGAAGGGAAAACCAGAAGGTGGTTGCACTTACCGGTGCGCACCAGTACGTTGAGCAGGATGTACAGGACGAGAGTGGTGACCCGGTATCCATGTATTATGATCATCAGCCACTTCGATACGTTGAATCCCGCCGCGTGCCATAGACCCGTGCCCTCGTGCACCATATTTTCCCCGTTCAAGCCTCAAGGGCGTCGTCGCCCTCCGTATGTGTTCCTTGTGCCTTCATTCACCAGCACTCTGCAATCGAACAATGTAACATAAGTGTTATTTGGCGATACAATTCTTACTTTTCACTACGCGTCTTCGAGAATGTCAAGTCTTTGTGCTGTGACACAAATTAAAACATCGAGAGCTCATTTCGCGAGAAAGAAAAAACGGTGAGATGTTAGATCGTTGGTACTCAAAAACCCTTTTTAAACGTGACTTTTACTATTGCTCTTTTGTTGCAGCTAATTTAATTATGTCGTAGATTTTATCTAATCTATGCGATAGTATAGGTCCTAATGATGATATTTTCTTTATTCGGAGAAAATACTGTTTAAAACCGAATATTTTAGATATGATTTTCGAATTATTTTTGTAAAATAATATTGGAATATTTTTATAAAAATTGAGAATTATTAAGATTTCCTTCCGTTAGATAAATATTAATATTATTTGAAGAAATTAACACTAACACAAATACAGAAAAAGAACAAATATAGAAAAACGATTTAATACGATGCAAACATATAATACAAAGAACATCGTTAATAATTTATTAACAATCAAAAACTATTGTGTTGATATAACAACGTATTTTGTCATTACAACTGTATTAATAATCGTACCTATTAAATTAACTACATATTGATTGCGTTAATTATATAATACCCTCAATTAACTTGATATTTGAACAAGAGCGATTGTGTCAGTTTCAATCTACATAATTTTCTCAATATAATAACTTTCGAATTGTAAGATACTTCAATTTTATACATATTAGATACCTGAGTCGAATAAGGCCCACCTAATTTATTTTTTTTAATTCTATTTATAGGGATATTGAAATAAACGAAATGAGAATAAAATATTTATTTCACTCACTCACAAAAACAAAATATATCTTTTATAGAGAATATTTATAAATGAAAAAAATTTTTTATTTTTGATATTGGGCCTTATTAGCATATAAATATATAATAAAGCTCAAATTAAAAATAAATTTAAAATAACAAAGAAATTAAACATTATCTTTCTAAAGCAGTTTTTAAAATTATTATTATTATCATAAAAAGAGGAAATCCTTTTCTACTACTCTACTTTTAAACATTACAATATTATCTTTAATTTAATCTGTAATTAATCTTTTAACCTTTGGAAACTTCTTACAATTTGAGTGTAATTTTAACTTCTTAAAAGTTAACAGTATTAAAAATCGTTATCCTAATAAATAAATCTCACATATAACAAGCAAATAACGACATAAATAGTTCTCATATTTAATAAGAGTTCATTGTATTTAAAAAAATGATTATTTTAAAAAATCGATTTATTTATTATTATATGTATATATGAATAATATTATGTATATAAGATAATGTATAATAATAAAATAATGTATACTTGATAAATTTTGCAACTAATTGTGATAAAAATGGCTTGTGCACACTCTTCGTCATAAATTTTTATTGCATTAAACAAATATGTTACAGTTCATTTTAATTCATTGGTCCTTTTATCTACTTCCTATAACATTTCATTTAAGCATACATCTATTCTCGATGTAAAATGAATTTTTAAATAATAAATTTAAAAATGTGCCTTATTTAATGTCTTATTCGACTCAACCTTATTCATATGTAGTAACTAATAAATTCATCAAAAAAATTGGAACTTTCTCAGAAAACATGCAGGTCTTTAAACATCTTCTACTCCATCTCTATATTTTTTAATTTTTTTAGCACTGTGCATAGCGCATCGTTATGAATGTATTATTTAATCATATGTTTGATATACTAGAAATGTATAAACTAATCAATTTATTCAATATAATAATATTCAATTCTTCAAGATAATACTCAAATCTTCAATATGATAATACTCAATTCTTCAAGATAATACTTAAATCTTCAAGAGGACAGTAAGTATTGATTATCCAATTCTACTTGTGGTGGATGAGAATCGATTGGAACGCATCAGGCTATTTGAGATGCGATATAGATCATCCTACTACCGTGAAGCAAATCGATAATACTTATTAATGTGAGTAAATAGGTTCGCCGATCCTGAAATTTCTCTATTACGTCATAAGAATCTGAATAATTTCTGTCAATGTTAAAAAAGTTTCTGTTTAGAAATATTAATATGTATATCAATTCAAATCATCTGAATAATGATTTGATATGCAAATAGTAAAATAACTTAAATCAATAGCTTAAAATCAATAAAGATTTTTTAAGTAATTTCTATCTTATTATTATATATATTTATAAAATAAATTTAGATTTAAAACAGTGAATAGCCAACAACAAAATTTATTTAATAATTGTGTTTCAATAATTATATCCTAAACTG